TGCCCCTTTCAAGTTATTGAGAATGTCCGTGTTCATTGCTATGCTTGTGTTTGTCACATTGATGTCTTGATTCCCCTTCCCTAGTGATTTTATTTCTTAGTTTCTTTTCATAGTTTTTAGTTTTTCCCTTCTTATATTTAGTCCGTTCTTTCTCCATATCCCTTTGACCTAGCTTAGTAACGGTAGTGTTTACAATAATTCGCCGTCTCTGCGGATCGACCCTTTACTTATCACTAGACTTGTTTGGTGTAGGTTTAGGTATATAAATATTGTTTGGTAGAGGGTAGTTAGTCCAACGACCTAGCTATTCGCCTCTCATCAAGCTTTTAAGCTAGGATGGGATCCATCCAGCTCGGCTCTGGTGTAGCGCAGCAGATGGTAACTGCTTCGGCTACACTCTTTTCTCGGCGCACTCCCACAAAGACAGAACGGTTCAGCTCAGTTAAAGTTGAACTTGCAAGCTTGGAGAATGCGTCGGCTTGAGCATTTTGACCCCTTGGGATCAGTTCAACTTCAAATGATCTCAGCTTCGCAATTGTTAACTTGATCTTTGCGAGGTAAGCCACCATCGAAGGTTCTTTGGCTTCATATTCTCCTCGGATTTGATTTGCGACTAGCTGAGAGTCCGTCTTGAGACAAACATGCTCGGCTTCCAACGATATGCACAAGTCCAAGCCGACAATGGCTGCTTCATATTCAGCTTCATTGTTAGAGGCCTTGAATGAAAATTTGAGTGCATATTCGAAGGTCTTGCCTTCGGGAGAGGTTAAGACAACCCCGGCCCCCGAACCATTTACGGTGGAGGATCCATCCGTGAAAACAGTCCAAATTTTCTTCCTTTCATCAAGCGTCTCTTGATAAGAACACTCGGCTACGAAGTCCGCTAAGGCTTGCGCCTTGATAGCTGCCCTCGGCTGATAGCTGATACTGAATTCGGTGAGCTCGGAAGCCCACTTCGTTAGTCTACCAGATTTTTCCACTTTGCCGAGGACTTTTTCTAACGGTTGATTAGTTAGGACCACTATCTGATGAGAGTCGAAATAGGGCCTTAACTTCCGAGCAGCTACCACTACTGCATATGCAATTTTCTCAAGTAGGGGGTAGGGAGTCTCGGCATCTGTCAGGGTGTGACTGACAAAATAGATCGGCTGTTGATAGCGTACTTTAGTGCGCGGATTTTAGGTGATTTAGTGTCCATATATCGACTCTTCGGAGCCATTTTGTATGGTTATTGCTCTATTTCCGCTTACTCTATGAATTCTATCATGCTTCACGGGTATATTGGTGTTTTGGTCTCAATTTCAGATATACACGGACTCGTTGGAGCCATTCCGAGACTTAGCCAAAAGGAGGGGACAATCGAAGGTTGTTTGGCAAGCCTAGAAGCCAATAAGGTTCACTGAAGGCCTTGCACGGCCGTGCCAAAAGTGGCATGCCCGTGCAAGTGAGGCAGAAGATGAAGGAAAGCTTCTGGAGGAGTGGCACGCCCGTGCCACCTGTGGCACGCCCATGCCACCTTTTGCACGCCAGTGCCACCTTTAGCACGCCCATGCAATCAGCCCAGAAGGAAGTTCTGCCAGATGTGGCACGCCCGTGCCAGATGTGGCACGCCCGTGCTAATATCGAGGGGCATTTTGCGTCTTTTATTTCCGGGATAATAATGTATAAATAAAAACCCACTTTTTAGGGTTCGAGAAGGAGGTTCTAATCAGATAGTTTAGAGATAGTTTAGAGAGAGTTTTTAGACGTAGTATCTCAATTTTAATGATGAGTATTTTCATACTTAGGGTTTGATAATTTCTTTTAGATCTTAATTAGTTTTCTCATAGTTTATCTCATAGATTATTCATAGTAGATTATTGAAGATTTCTGTTTTCTCTCAAAGCAAGACTCATTGGAATACTTTGTACAATTCATTGACAACGGATATCAAAGTTCCGATCTTTTGCATTGATTAGCATCAATATTATTGGTATTATTCTTCCTTATTTATTATTTGCAGATTTTCATTATTGTTATTTAGAATTTATGCTAGGGTTTATTATGTTCTTTGAATTTATTGTTGCTTTAATTATGAATATGCGTGAGTAGTTTAATTGCTAGGGTTCGGGTGAAACCCAACCCAATGATAATTATGCGATTTAGGGTTTGAATATGCATGATTGGATTGTGATTAAATGTGACTGTATGGAATTGCTTGTTAGGTTTCTCATGATAGGAGTGATCAACCTAGACTATTGACCTTGATAGCACAGGATATTCGATTCGATGCGGGAGCGTGAATTTAGTATTCTATAACCTATTTTGATATGATTATGTATCTTTGTTACTAAGTCAATGAGGGATCTAGACATAGTGATTTGAGTTGTTTTCGTATCATTGGATGTTGATTTTGCATATAGTCTTTGCAATTCGTGTATCCATGTTCGTCCCTATTTGCCCGATTATCGTCGTGTTGCGTGAATCCCGTTTCCCTAGTGCCTTAGTTAATTGATACCTACCTTTAGAAATAGTCAGTTTTTAACACCTCTCACCTAAGATTTCGATTCAGCTTAAGTGTCACAGTTGTATAGTGATTGAATCCCGTTCCTCGTGGACCGAACCTTTGCTTACCATTACACTTGTTAAGTGAGGTGTTTGTATAAATTTGTTTGATTAGGTTAGATTGTGCGACCAATTTAACGCCTGTCAGCTGTTGAATTTTTTCTTCTTTCTTTAGCAGCACCGCACTTACTGTGGCTGGACTAACTGCCACATATAAGTATAAAGTTTCTCCTACCACTGGTCTTGCCAATGTTGGGAGCTGAGCTAAATGATCACGGAGCTGCTAAAGGCAATTTTTTTTTTCATCTCCCCAATCGATGTCTTTCAATCCCTCTCTTGCTGACCATGAAGCCGAGGAATTTTCCTAACTTCACTCCGAAGACACACTTCTTCGGATTCAGCTTTATTTTATGCTTTCTGAGGGTGGCAAAGGTTTCTGCTAGATCCCTAACATGGTCTTTTTCTTCTATGCTTTTGACAATTGAATCGTCAACATAAACCTTCATGTTTCGGCCTTTCTGCTCGGCGAAAACCTGATCAACCAGCCTCGGATATGTTTCCCCCGCATTTTTCAATCCGAAGGGCATCATTTTGTAATTGTACACCCCAGAAATAGTAACAAATGATGTTTTAGTTCGGTCCTCGGGATGCATGAAGATCTGATGGTATCCAGAAAATGCGTCCATGAAGCTGAGCAGAGCATGCCCGCTTGTCGAGTCAACCACTTGGTCGATCCTCGGCAATGGATAGGAGTCTTTAGGACACGCTCTATTCAGATCCGTGAAGTCAACGCACATTCTCCAGCTACCATTTGCCTTCTGAACCATCACCACATTGGCTAACCACTCTGGATACTGACAAGGCTCAATGAACCTAGCATCCAGGAGCTTTTTGACTTCGGCTGCGATGTTTTGGTTCTTTTCGGCGGAATAATTCCGCTTTTTCTGCTTATTGGGCTGACTTGTGGGGTTGACATTAAGCCTATGGGAGATTAGGTTCGGATCAATCCCGGGCATTTCAATTCTTTGGCCGAGAAAGCGAACACATCTCCGCTGGCTTGAAGGAGTTGGATTAGTGCAGCTCGGGTTTCTGGCTCGAGGCCTAGCCATATGCTAACACATCTTTTGGAGTCTCCTTCGGCCAGCTTTATTGATTCTGTCGGATTATCCGTCTCCAAGTTTTTGGAGCCGGACTCTTCATATTCTGGCCTGCTGTCAATATCAGCAGGCTTTTCTGACCGCAGCTGATCATCAGAGTCTTTCGGCTCTGACATGGAATCGGCCTTTTGACCCCTTTTAGATTTTTCTTGGGAATGGGTCTCACTTGTCGAAGCACCCAAAGTTTTCAGCTTTTTGGCACTTCGGTCTCGATGCATTTCATCTTCATCATCTTGGTCGCCTCGGCGAGCCCTAGATGGCTTGAGATGATTGCATCAGCGGGCCTCCTTCTGGCTGCCCTTTATTTTTCAGAGCGTCCCTCGTCCGATACGTATATCATGACTTGATGGTACGTAGAGACAACTCCTTGAATTACGTGAATGAGGGGTCTCCCCATAATCACATTGTACGTAGATGGTGCATCGACGACCAAGAATTCGATCATGATACTCCTTGCTGCTCGGCCTAAGCCGATGGTGACAGGAAGTGTGATCTTCCCATCAGGATATGACGAAGAGCCATTGAATCCAGACACCGGGTAGGGTGCTGGGCTCAGGTGCCTGGCTTCCATCTTCAGTTGATCAAATGCTCCTCGGAAGAGGATATTTGCCCCGCTGCCGCCGTCGACGAGAGTTCGCCAGACGTTGCGGTTTGCGATGCCCAGTATAATTACAAGAGGGTCATCGTGAGGGTACACCACCCCTTCGCAGTCCTCGGCTGTGAACAGAATGTTCGGCACCGGTGACTGAGGTCGCCGAAGCTCAGCATGATTAACATGATGGGTTAAACCCCTCATATGGCGTTTAGCTGCGCTTCGGGAGGTTTCCCCGGAAATTACTAAAATGTCAAGGGAATCCCTGTCTTGAGGCACTTTGTCCTTTTTCCGGGAGAAATTAAGGTCCTGCCGAGAATCTTTCTCGGCTCTTTTTTCTTCGCGTCTGTCCGCGAGATATTTTTTCAGGTACCCCTTTCGAACCAGGTCCTCAATCTGATCCTTCAGGTGGACACAGTCTTCGGTGCGATGTCCAGGTGAATCATGGAACTTGCACCACTGGTCCTTGCCCCTCTGCTGATGCCATGGCGGCAGCTGACGAGGCTTTTTGAATCTCCCCTCATCCTTTGTCGTGCTGTAAATTTTAGCACGCGGAAGGGCGAGAGGAGTATAAGAGTCATACCTTCCCAAGTAGGGAATGTACTTCTCCTTCTTCGGCTCAGGAGCAAAGAACGGTTATGAGGCCTTAGCCTTCCCTTTCCTTTGCGCCGAATTGTCGGGCTGCTGCCCTCTCGACTTCCTAGCCCCTAATTGAGACTGAGACTTCGATTGTTCCACTCTTTAGCCCGGATGAATTTATCCGAAGCTTCCAAGGCTTCCTCCAAGGTCTGCGGGGTATGTATGACTATGAAGTCCAGGAACTTGCCAGCTTGAAGACCGTTCCGTAGTGCAAATACAGTCAGGCCTTGATCGAGACTTGTGATTCTGGATGACTCGTTGCTGAAACGAGTAAGAAATTCACGGAGGCTTTCCTCCTCCCCTTGCTGCAGGCTCATCAGCTCTGCAGTTGTTTTCTCTCGGCGGTTTTCCGTAGAAAACTTGCTCTTGAATTTGTTGGAGAGATCATCCCAACCGGTTATAGAGCCATCCTTTAGCCCTTTGGTGATCCACGATTGTGCAACACCCTTGAGGGTCGTAGGGAAGTACTTACACCAACTAGCCTCAGACTTGGGGTTGAGATACATATGCCCCTCGTAAGAGGCGATATGATCCTTCGGGTCAGAGGTACCATCGTAAGTCATGTGCGCTGGTATTTTTACCGTTGGCACATGTTCCTCCATAATCCACCTTTGGAAGGGTGAACTGGTCGGAACCATGACGACTTTCCCTTTGTGCCCAGCCGAAGGGACCTCGCTTCTCCCTCTTAGAGAGGTGAAAGTGGTTTTTGTCTCCGGCCGAGACAGTTCGAGGCGTGAGCCACTTTTTCCAGGGAAGGTTAGGCGGCTATGCACGCTTGCCTCCTTTCGGCGAGCAGTTTCCTCCTGCATGGAGGTTGTATTGCTGCTCTTGAAGCTCATGGAACGTTGTGCTCCGGATTGGACGAAGAACTGTGGGTTCTTCTTCCTCTCCTTACTCGTATTCCACGTTGGCTCCTGCCACTCCCTCCCGACTTCTCAGTGAGATGGGTCTTGCCCATCTTGGTCTTGACCGATTCTCCTTTTCAGGAGCCTCGGCTGACGAGAAGGGTGCGTAGAGAGAGTGGTCTGTATGGGTTCCCCTTGTGCTTCGAGGAATCGTATACAGATTCTCACGGCCTAGGCTACTTCCTCGGTTGAGGGCCCTAAAGGAGGAGTTTCCTTCGGCTGAGACCGTGAGCGCTAGCTTTCATGCTGGTAGGATGGGATTCTCGCCTCCGAACCTTCCTGGCGAACCGGGCTTGTCAGCTCAGAATGGTGGGGAGGGAATCCTCCGGGGGTCTCCCTTGCCGGGGAGCGTGAGGCTCCGCCGGCCTCCCTTTCAGGAGTTAAGGAGGCCTCCGAGGAAGAGACTGCGGCTTCAGGTGAGGAGAGAACGGGTTGATGCCCCCTCACCGTGATCAAGTCCCTCCTTCTCCCGGAGGGAGTAGGAGTGGGACCGACTCTCTTCCTGGCACTTTTGTCACTCTTAGTCATTATGATTGCTGATAAGTCGTGTTTTGTGCATATTTATTAGCTTATTTTTGATTGGTTTTATTAGCTTAGTCGAGTGTTTTAGTCCATTTTGGTGTAATTTGGTTTAGTTTCGATGATTCGATGCTTTTATGGGTAGTTTCGTTGTTTTTGATGTATTTCAGGATTAACGGAGTAATTGAGTGGAAATGAAGCAAAACGTTGATGAAATACTTGACAAATATGACACCTGTTCACTATTATGCTCATAACTTTTGATATACAAATGATAATGGAGTGATTCAAATTGCATTGGAAAGTAGACTTGAAGACCTTTCCAACGATATATTACACGCCTCAAACGAAGCTTCGGATATGAAGTTATGACTGATTTAAGATGAGTGATACGCGCAGCAAAGCAGGCACGTCCGTGCCCAGCAGTCAGGCACGTCCGTGCCTGGAAGACAGACTCTGCAGCGATTTTTATTTCTAGAGAGGCACGTCCGTGCCTATGATGAGGCACGTCCGTGCCTCCTCAGATTCTTGTGCGCCAAGCTTTTGCCGATTTTCTTATCTTTTCTAGGTTTTATTTATACTAAGTGGGGTTTTATTATCTCATTAAGTTTTATTTTGAGGATATTAATTTTACTTTTGGAAGAACTATTTTCTCTCTATTATTTCCTCTACTTTTGTAATTCAAGATTCAAGCTTTCTACCTTCAATTCAATTCAAGATTCAGTATTTTCTTTTAATCTCTTTATTTATTCATGTTTTCTTTATTATTTATTGTTCTTGTTTTTTTTTGTTAATATCTTAGAGTAGATTGTTGTTCTAGATTTAGGTTGAACCCTAATATGGTTAATACTTGATTTATTCTTTTAAATTCTCAATTAATTATTTATATTGTTCATGCTTAATTGATTGCGCTTATGCCAATACTAGATTAGAGATAATTAGTATTGTTATTATTCCATTGTTTTAATCGCAGCGAGAGTTGGGTTTTAACGGATTTGAATAGATCAATTAAGGGTTTGATATTCATCACGAGAGTAGTTGAATGGATAATTAGGAAGTTAGAGTAATGTGCTTAATGTCTCTAATTTGCATGATTCCATGAGAATAGGCTTGATTGTGGGTTAGAGAAGCCATTGATACTCGAGAGAGGTCCTTGGTATTATTTAGGGATTACTTTTCCTTGTGAGCATATAATTAATTGATTGGGGTAGGAATTTATCTTGTATTGATTTTATTAGCGGTAATACTTAATTCTAGAGTCTTTATTATTATTAGATTTATTTTGTTAGTTCATAGTATATATTATTCAACTCATTATTTTATCTTGATTCGGCTATTGTAATTCATAGAAACCATTGTTTAGTCCAACCTTCTCTGTGGGATCGACCCTGACTTACCCTACTACATATTAGGAGGTTTAGTTAGGTTTTTGTTATTTTTGTTAGGTGTGCGACAGCCTACCAATTGCTAAAGTGGTTTATTGACGCGAATTTTTGTGAAGCTCCCCACAGACGGTGCCAAATTGTTTCGGATGAAAACAATAGAACCTCGGGAGGCTCTTTTATCTCGTGAGAACTTGGTCTCGGTCCAATAAGCAGTGGAGCCGAGCATTTCCTGCACAGCAAACACACGTAAACTAGCCTTAGGGGTGTAGCCGAGGAAGGCCCCTCTGATGCTAAAGTCAGTATGTTTTTTAGAGAGAAAGCTATGCAAGATATTTAGTGCTTGAGGCTTTGTGTGCATTAGAGAGAATGGACCAAATTAATGGCTTTTATACCTTTGCTTAATTGGATGTTGACTGGGCCATGAAGTCAATTGGGCTTGCCAAGTTGACTGGGCCTTGACTGACCCCTTAGCATGCTTTGGATGGGAGTGGACCTTTACATTGGGCTTGTGATTGAGTTATTTGGACTTGGCCCAATTTAATTTGTGAAATTGGACCCAAAACTGCTAAGCTATAGTTGATTGGGTAATGATTATGATGCTTTGTTAGGGGTGATGGGCATCCTGAAATGCCATCTATAATCAGGGGCAGTGAGCATGTTGACATAGTTGATAGGAGTAGTGGAGTAAAATTGATTGGGAATGGTTTCAACGAGGTTGAGGGACTTGATGAATTTGTCTTTGAGGATGTAGAAAACAATGAGTCAGAAATGTATAGTGAAAGTCAATATATTTCTCCTATGAAGACAATTAAGACAATCGAAACTATTGTTGCTAGTAATAACATAACTGTTGTTACAATGGTAGAACCACCTCAAGTTGGTATGGTATTTAAAACCAGGAAAGATGTCGAATCCTATTATAAGGACTATGCTAAGCAGATTGGTTTTGGCGTTGCTAGGTGCAAGGAGTAAATTCAAAGAAGGACAAGAAGAAGAGAATAGCCACGACTTGGAGGTGTGAGTGTTAGGGTAGACCTGATATAAGGGCAAGGAGAGAAGCTAAGAAAAAGGCTATGGCCATGGATGTTTCAGGTACAGGTGGAGTTGTAGATGGTGTAGAAGGTGAGGATGAGTTGGGGTGTGGCAAGAGGACGTCCAAAAAATGTGAGTGCCCTGCCATGGTATATGCTAGTGTTAATGAAGAAGGAGAGTGGGTAGTGAGGGGGGTGAACTTGAAACATGAGAGGCACAAGCCGTCCCCTAGTAACTCGAAGCTCGTTAAGGAGTATCATATGAAGCATATGACCTCCACCGTTCGAAAGAAGTTGTTGAATTACTTTGACAAGGGTGTACCTGTTACACAAATACATAGTTGCTTGGGAACGGAGAGGGAAATGCCGTTGACTGTCAAGGATTTACAGCATGAGGTTTATAAGGCTAGAAGGTTAAAGATGGTCAGGGGTGATGATGTGGCTATGATGGAATATTTTGATAAGATGCAAGCAGGGAATGACAATTTTTTTCATGCTCCACGGCTTGATGTAGAAGGGCGGCTGAAGGATGTATTTTGCGTTGATGCACGGAGTCGTGCGGCGTACGATGACTTTGGTGATGTTGTTTGTTTCGATGCAACTTATTTAACCAATGATTACGAGCTCCCATTTGTTAATTTTGTTGGAGTTAACCACCACGGGCAAACAATTTTGCTTGGGTGTGCGTTGTTATCTCGTGAAGATTCAGATACGTTTTCTTAGATTTTCATGAAGTGGTTGGCTAGCATGAATAATAGGGCTCCTGTAGCCATATTGACTGATCAAGCCGGTTGCCATGAGGAGACCGCTAGCTGAGGTGATGCCTGGTACTAGGCATCGGTGGTGTATATGGCATATAACCAGGAAGTTTCCCGAAAAACTTGGCAAGTGCTCAATGTAAGTCTGTTATGTTTTTGTACACTCTCACATATGATTGCAGCTTTCCCTTTACTTTTGTGAATTGCTATTCGTCGCTCGCAAATTACCAGGCATCGCTCGCAAATTAAAGTGATTTTACTATTTTGCCCTTTGCTCGATTTTTTCTATATAAGGAAGGCCCGGGTTGTTGTAATGAAACACGAGCTTCCTCAAAACATGACCGAGCATCATATTTGTTAGTTTCTTTAAAAAAAAACCCGAGCCGCAAAATTCCCGAGCGATTTCACCTCAAATCGAATTTTTTTTGAAGCCGTTCATTAATCTCTGGGTTTAATATGTGGAACGACGCCAACGATCGTACACCGGAGGCATCGTCGGAAGAATCTATAAGTTCGCGAATTTTTTTTGTTTCTGTTCAAAGGACATCCGCCTGGAATTTTCGGATCCTCCATGGAGGATCCGCCTGATATTTCCAGATCCTCCATGGAAGATCCGGAAATTCCAGGCGGATCCATGGAAGTTCCGGAAATTCCGGCGGATGTCCCCTATAATTTTTTCTTTTTTTTTTTGGTGTTTTTTTTTTTGTTTTTTTCTTTTTATTGATTAATAGTAGTATTAATATGTTAATCTTAGTTTTTTTATTATTATTATTAGTGTTGTTATTTATTATTATTATGGTTGTTATTATTAATATTGTTATTTATTATTATTATTATTATTATTATTATTATTATTATTATTATTATTATTATTATTATTATTATTATCATTATTATTATTATTATTATTATCATAGTTGTTATTATTAATATTGTTATTATTAGTGTTGTAATTTCTCTTAAAT